CACCTTGGCCTTCCAAAGTGCTGGGATTGCAGGCATGAGCCACCATGCCCAGCCAAGGCTAGGATTTCAAGGACAGAAGGCAACATAGTGAGACCTCATCCACCCACAAAAAGTGAAAATATTAGTGCTGGTGTGCATCTGTAGTCCCAGCTACTTGGGAGGCTGAGGCAGGAGGTCCCAGGAGTTCGAAGCGGCAGTGAGCTGTGATCACACCTCTGCACTCCAGCCTGGGTAACAGACTGAGACCCTGTCTCAAAAATATATACATATGTTTATGAGGCGCCACTGAATTCCTGGCAATCTTTGAGGCGCTGGGGATTCAGCAATGAGCAGATAAAACTCCTTCCCCTCAGGGAGTTTACTTTCTAGTAAAGCAAAGCAGACAGTAAACAAATACATGGAAAATGTAAAAGTGACAAGATGTGCTCTGAAAAACCATGAAGTTGGCTGAGGGCCAAGGTGGACAGATCGCTTGAGCCCAGGAGTTTGAGACCAGCCTGAGTAACATGGTGAAACGCTGTCTCTATTAAAAATGCAAAAAATTAGCCAGGTGTGGTGTTGCATGCCTGTAGTCCCAGCTACTGGGGAGGCTGACATGGGAGGATCCCTTGAGCTCAGGAGTTCAAGCTGCAGTGAGCTATGATTGCACTGCTGCATTCTAGCCTGGGTGACACAGTGAGAGCAGGCCCCCCGCAAAAAAAGAAATTGATTTTAAAAATCAATAAATAGGCTGGGCACGGTGGCTTACGCCTGTAATCCCAGCACTTTGGGAGGCTGAGGTGGGCGGATCACAAGGTCAGGAGATCGAGACCATCCTGGCTAACATGGTGAAACCCCATCTCTACTAAAAATACACACAAGAAAAATTAGGCAGGCAAAGTGTGGCGCCTGTAGTCCAGCTACTCAGGAGGATGAGCACAGGAGAATGGCCGTTGAACCTGGGAGGCGGAGCTTGCAGTACAAGACACACCACTGTACTCCAGCCTGGGTGACAGAGCAAGACTCCATCTCAAAAGAAGAAAAAAAAAAAAAAATCACATAATAGGGGGGGCACTGGTGACTCATGCCTTTACTTCCAGCACTGGGAAGCTGAGGGTGGGTGGACTCAGCTTGAGCCCAGGAGTTGTTGAGACCAGCCATCGGGCAACACAGTGACCCTGTCTCTACAAAAAAACACAAAACATGAGCTGGGCAGGCGTGGTGGTGCACGTGCCTGTGGGTCTCAGGCTACTTGAGGGGATTGAGGGGGAGGATGGCGTTGAGCCAGAAGTTCAAGGGCTGCAGTGAGCATGATTGACGACCCACTGCATCCCAGCCGGGGCTGGACAGAGTGAGACGCTTGTCTCAAAAAAAAAAAAAAAAAAAAAGGATGTAAAAAATAAAGTGGAGGGAAAATACTGCTTCCCTTGGCATTCTCAAGTCTGGTTCTTACATCCGCAAGGCCAGTGGTCAGCTGGATCTGTAGACTCAGTGGCATAAGGCTGAGGCTGCTTCTGAGAGAGGCAGGGAGACAGCCACTGTTACACACTACAGATCCCTGGTCTCAGCTAAGGGACCTTGCTCAGACCCCTGCCAGCCTGGGCCAAGGGAATCAAAGATTTGCTCTCAGAGACCCAGCAGCCAGGGGATTATTCAGATGACATTGGGACGCAGAGCCCTAAGGTCACTCAGAAGTGTCCTGGGATGGCTGGTGTTAGGAACAAGGGCCTTCCCGCAGAAACCAGCCCCTAAAAGAATGCCAGAGCTGACAGTGAGAGAAACGGGATGCCAAGCAGGGCCAGAGAGGAGAGCGTAAAGGACCAGACAGAAGAGCCGCCTGATAGCTTCCGCTGTGCTTCCTGCATCTGGCTCTCTTTGAGAGCCCCCTGTGTGCCAATGACAAACCCTTCTTTATTTAAGCTCCTCTGAAGTGCCTTCCTGGTCTTGGCAGCTGGACAGGGCCCTGAATAAGACAGCGAGCCTCAATGGCAGGCTACCCCAGGGCTGGGTGATGTATCCAATCCCACAGAAAGTCATCTGTGTTTTCTTTGCCTTTGTTTTGGGGAGCACTGTGTTGGTTTGGCCTCATTTACATGCCGATGGAGTGTTTTGCTGTTGCATTCAAGTGAAAGTTATTCCTGTTCCCCAGCCCCTCAATTCCGGAGATCTCAGGCCTTCTTCCCACGGAATGTTGTTAAGACTTATGCTCTTACGGACACCTGCTGGCAGTCAGTAGGTATTGCAGGCAAAGGCACAACATAGCCCTATTTTTGAGACAGGGTCTCAGTCTGTCACCCAGGTTGGAGTGCGGAGGTGTGATCACAGCTTACTGCCGCTTCGAACTCCTGGGTTCAAGTAATCTTCCCGCCTCAGCCTCCCAAGTAGCTGGGACTACAGGCACATGCCACCACAGCTGGCTAATATTTTTACTTTTTGTGAGTGGAGGGGGTCCCACTATCTTACCCAGCCTGGTCTCAAAATCCTGGCCTTGGTTGGGCACGGTGGCTCACATCTGTAATCCTAGCAGTTTGGAAGACTGAGGTGAGCTGATCACTTGAGGCCAGGAGTTTGAGACCAGCCTGGCCAACATGGCGAAACCCCGTCTCTACTAAAAATACAAAAATTAGCCCTTCTCTGTCTTGATCTACTTGTGCCCTGGGACCCTGAAACCACTCCACTCACTCTTATTGAGTACCAAGGGGTGCCAATACAGTAGTAAATCCTACAGACACAGTTCTGCCCTTATGAAGTCTACAGAAAATACCAGTAACTATGGGATAATATATACATCCACAGTTTTTCCCAGCAAGGGGGAAAAAATAACTAGAGGTGAAAAGGGCCTTTCAGTAATACAAAGTAATACACTCACATTTTATCTAATATAGAAAGCCTCTCAAGCCCAATAACCATATCCCATTTCTCACTTTGTTTTTCCCCGTAGCACTTATCATGTATCATATTTGTCATGTGTTATAAAATATGATATGTTTTACATGTTGATTTCTTGTGTGTCTCCCTTTTAGAATATCAGTCTCACGAGGGCAGGTGTTTTTGTTGTTGTTTTTGTTCGCTGTTGCTCCATTACAGTGCCCAGCAGCGGTATTCAGTAAAATCCATGGAGTGAAGAAGCTTCGTCCTAAATGTCTGCAGTGGGGGTGAGCTTGGGGTAATGGTTTCCATGCTCAATGATAATTGTTTGGGAAACAATGTAAAGTGGTGGCTTCGGAAGGCAGAGGGGCCCAGGATGGCTGGCCATGGATGCCAAGGCTGCTTGTAAAGAGAAGTCCATGTGCCATAGCCATGGAATCTCGGAACCTCCATGTTCAAATTCTGTAACTTGGGCATGTGCCCTAACCTCTCTGAGCCTCAGTTCCTCCATCTGTAAATTTGGGATAATAGTGGCACCTAGACCGGGGGCAGTGGCTCATGTCTGTAATCCCAGCACTTTGGGAGGCTGAGGTGGGCAGATCACCTGAGATCAGGAGTTCAAGACCAGCCTGACCAACATGGAGAAACCCCGTTTCTACTAAAAACACAAAATTAGCTGGGCGTGGTGGTGCACACCTGTAATCCCAGCTACTCAGGAGGCTGAAGCAGGAGAATCGCCTGAACCCGAGAGGCAGAGATTGCGGTCAGCTGAGATTGCGCCATTGCACTTCAACCTAGGCAACAAGAGCGAGACTCCATCTCAAAAAATAAAAAATAAATAAAATAAATAGTGGCATCTACACCTCCCAGGGTTGTCATAAACATTGACAGGCTGTGAACACAGAGCACTTGGAGTGATACCTGCATACAGCAGGTGTTGAATACATTTTTGGCTTTCAGATCCCTTGGGTAATGGCTACAGGACTGACCCGTAGTCAGGGACTCTTCAGTTGAGGGGCAAGCAGCTGGCAGCTGTGGCAAAACTGCCCTCTCTGCACACCTTGATGGGGTGGCCCGAGGGGGCAGGAGGGACGGAGGCATAGGCCTGCCCTATGGCTACCGAGTGGTGTGTTGAAGATCCCTGAGATTCCTAGAGACAAGGCAGGTTCAGGAACTCCAGGAGCACCTCAGGCACAAGAGCGGTACAGGGCAGATGCTGAGTGGGTATAGGTCGGGGTCCTGAGGCTCCTAAGGGGAGCCTTTGCTGGGGTCCCCAGAGAAAAGACTCGCCTCCCCAAGGCTCAGACAGGGAAGGGGCTTGGGCTTAACTTAGGCTAAGGGTTTGTGAGAACAGCCCAGAGGAATGCACAGAGGAGCTGAGATGGGCAGAGCTGTGGCACAGAGGCCACTTAGGGCCCCAATGGAACTAAATCCCAAAAGGGTCCCAAGGGAGGGCTTCACCAACTAGGAGGTGAGGAGGTGACAGATTCCAGGGTGCAGGCAGGGTTGGAGGGGCCCGGGTATGTCCCCACATCCAAGTGCCTTTATAAACGGGACCCAGAGAGAGCGTCACAGCCCGGCCAGGATCTGTTTGGAAGATGCCTGACTTGTCACCAGGAGTGAGGTAGAGTGCTCAGGAGATGTGTCCCCCAGAGACCCCCCAAGAAAAATCCCAGGGCTGAGAAAGCACGAGAAGATCCCAAGCCAGCACATGACATGGGGAACCTGCTGGGATGTGGAGCCTGGTGCTCCTTCTTGGGAGGCTGACATGACTAAGTCGGGTCCACAGCGTCTTTCCTACACTCACCCGTTCCCTGGCCACCCCCGCCCAGTGCAGCACCCATGTCACCTGGTGGTCCCTGTGGGCACTGCGTCGTGGCCGGTCCCGGGCAGAGAGGCCGTTGATCTTGCATTCGTAGCAGGCTTCGGTCGAGAGCAGCTCCTCTTTGTCCGGGGCGTCCTGGGGTCCGGGGCTGAAGCCCAGGCCAAAGACACAGTGCCTGCAACAGGATGAGCAGGGTGGGGGATTTCAGAGGTAGGCTCATGGGACCTCCCCAGCCACCTCGCTCCACCCGCATCCTCTTTTCTGAGTCATGCTGCAAATGCCCACGCACACATGTGCCTCGGAGCATGTGCTGGTGTGACTCCGTGTGCACGAGTGTGTGTGCACCACATAAGGGTGTGCATGTGAGTCCCTTGGTTCACCTGGGCATAGGTGTGAACACAGGAGTGAGAGGACAGGCACAGGCTGGGGTGGATGAATGGACATTAGCATACCCGGGGCGTGTGCGTGTGCCAACCTGTGTGTTCACATGGGGAATATCTCATGTGGGCACATGTGTGCTTCCTCACCCGTGCAAACCAGGATGTAGCAATGGCACAGTGCCCCCAGGGATGCGGGCATGCATGAGCCTGAGTGCACACTTGGACATGCGTGCGCACACACACACGTGTGCATGCTGGGATCTGTAAATGCATGAGGGTGCCCACACATACTGGTAGGGGTGTGTGCCATGTGGACAACTGCATGTTAGTGGTGTGAGCCTGTGTGTGCACAGATACAGGTGCCACTGTACCTCTGTGTGTCCAGGACTCTGTGCATATGTGGGTAAATGCCTGCATGCACGGGCAGAAGGAGCTCTTCTGGTAAATTCTTGGCATGCACAAAGCCCCATGTCTGTGCGCGTGTGTGTGTGTGTGTGTGTGTGTGTGTGTGTGGTGGCATGCACATGCATGGATGCTTGCAGGGCATGGAGTCTGTTCGCCCCACTCCAGCCTCTCACCCTTGCCCAGCCCGGAAGAAGCCTTGAGGACAGCCACACAGGAAGCCACCGGGAGTGTTGGCACAGCTGTAGCTACAGGGGCCACGCCGTCCGGCGCACTCATCCACATCCTGGCAGCCCCCAAGGGTCTGATCAAAGTCAAAGCCAGAGGGGCAGACGCAGCGGAAGCCACCAAGAGTGTTGCGACAGGAGGCGCTCCCGCAGGTGGGGGGCAACAGGGCACACTCGTTCTCATCTGTGGGAGGAAAGGAGGAGGAGAGGGAGGATGCAGAGGTGGGGCGGCGCAGCCTTCTCACCCCCAGAGCCCTCCACCTGGAATGCTCTCTGTTCAGAGCCCAAGTCCAATGTCAAAGCCTCCAGCAACCTGGCAGTGAGCCCTGAGACTAGATCGGCCCCATAGCCCTGCTGCCCCAAACCCTGTGGTTCTCCTTCACTGCATCTCTCAACACTTCCCCTAAACCCCAAAGTGTGGGATGATCTAGACCAAACTTTCTTACCCTCGGCGCTATGGACATTTGGAGCCAGATCATTCTCTAGGGAGCAGCCATCCTTGCACTGTGGGACGATGAGCAGTACCCCTGGCCTCCACCCGCTTGATGCCAGGAAAACCCATTTGCCTCCAATTGTCTGTTTAGAGTTGGGAGTTTCACTCTGTTGCTCAGGCTGGAGTGCAGTGGTGTAACCATAGTGCACTGTAGCCTTGACCTCCTGGGCTCAAGGGATCCTCCTGCCTCAGTCTCCCGAGTAGCTGGGACTACAGGTGTGCACCAATATGCCTGACTAATCTTTTAACTTTTTGTAGAGATGGTGGTTTTTCTATGTTGCCTAGGCTGGTCTTGAACTCTTGGCCTCAAACAATCCTCCTACCTCAATATCCCACAAGAGTGAACTACCATGCTGGATCCCAGTTGTGATGATCAAAAATGTCTCCCAGACACTTCAGAATGTACTATAGGGGAAATGGTCCTCTGTTGAGAACCTAGTTAGGGGTCTAATTAATTCCTGTTTCCTTTGCTGGACTGAACAACTCAAGGCAGAAATGGTTTTTCAGCTCACTTCTGCATCTGAGCTCACGGCCTAGTGAAAGGCAGGTCCTTGGCAAACAGTTGGGGAAAGAATGAATGAGTCAATACAAAGCGGAGGAGACAAGTTGAGGAAGAGTTGCCAGCAAAGGCCGATGGTCTGTGGGATCCCCAAGATCCCCAGCGGACAAGCACCTTGCCTCAGGGGGCAGGGTCACGTGGTGTGGGAAGCCCGAGAACTTAGCTAAAGACCCACCATGAGAGACAAAAGGAGAGGGCAGAGAAAGCAGTGCCTGTGAGGCAGTGGGAGAGCAGGGACAGCCACATCACCAAGGCCACAGGAGAGAGTGTCCAGGAGGGGCAGACTGTGGTGCCCAGAGTAGTGGAGGTAGAGGATGGAGGCCAAGGAGAGGTCTCAAGAGAGAGCAAGTGGGCCTGAAAATGGTAGAGGGTGAAAGCTGCACTGTAGCGGAGGAATGAAAAGAGCAGTGAAACGGGCTGCCAGGAGGTCCTGGAGCAGCCAGAAGAAGGGGGAAGGTTGTGGGGCAGAAGGCTAGCTCCCCAAATAAAGGGCCTCTGCAACAGCTATGACAATGATATAGCATTCACACCTCCATCGCCCCTTGCAGCATCCATAGCAGACATCAGTAATCACACTCATGGCAGACATCACTAATCAATCACAGCACTCTTTCCCTGTGATCACAGAATTGCAGACTTCAGGTCTCAGAATCTTTCTCAACTGAGTCCTCCAGGCCACCATGCCCTAAGGAATGAACTCAGACACTTTTCCATGCTTATTCTGCTGCACCTTGACTCCCCAGCAGTGGGGAACTCACTACCTTCTGGGCTAGCCTGTTCAATCTTTATATAATTGAGCTTGTCACAACATCTTGCAGGGTGGTGTCTGTTAGTCGCCTGCTCTGAGCAGATTCTGGTGGGGGCCCCAGCTTCTTCCCAGCCCCTTCCACTCACCCACACACTGGGCCCACTGGGAGTGCTGGGTGAAACCCTGGGGGCAGCCACAGCGGTAGCCCCCTAGCTGGTTCTGACAGCCGTGCTGGCAGCGGTGGGGTCCATCACATTCATTCACATCTGAGACAGAGAGAGGGAGAGAGGGTTTACCAGACGGCTCTCAGGACCAACACCCCCAAACACTAGACCCCAGCCAAAGCTGGGCTATACCTTCACAGCCATGGCCTGAGCTGTCCAGGGTGAAGCCTTGGTGGCATTCACAGCGGAAGCTGCCTGGGGTGTTGTGGCAGTGCCCGCGGGCACCACATGGGCCAGGCTGGGCTGAGCACTCATCATTGTCTGCAGAAGAGAGAGATCGGGCAGGGTTGCTTGCTGGTTAAGGAACTCGTGTCAGGTGACACAATGCCAGTCCCACCACTGTGTGGCTTCAGGCAAGTTGCTCACCTTCTCTGTGCCTATTTCCCACGCTGTGAAATGAGATCTGTAACAGTTCCTGACTCACAGAATAGACGCCAATCTTTGAGATCCTGCACATAAAGAATCTCATCTCCACTGCCTTGAAGCTGTGTGTCCTTGGGCAACTTACCTACCTTCTCTGTGCCTCCATGTCCTCAGCTGTAACATGGAGATGATAATGTCTACCTCACTGCATTTTTGTGTGTGTGAGAGAGAGAATTAAATTAACCTAATCTTGTAAAAGACTTAGGGCAGTGCCTGGTAAAAGAATAAAAGATAAACAAAGCCTCTTTTCCTTCTCCCATGGAAAAATGACATTGGGTTGCCTGTTGAGTTTTGTTCTCATGGAAACCTGACAATAATGTGAGGTCAGCTGGTGCCATGGACTGAATGTTTGTATCTCTCCAAAATCCTATGTTGAAGCCCCAACCCCCAGTGGGATGGTATTTGGAGATTAGGTCTTGGGGAGGTGATCAGGGTTAGAGAAGGTCATCAGGGTAGGGCTTTTATGATGAGAATAGTGCCCTTATAAGAAGAGACACCAGAAAGCTTGCTCTGTCTCTGCCAAGTGAGGATACAGCAAGAAGGCGGCTGTCTGCAAACCAAGAAGAGAGCCCTCACAGAACCAACCAGGCTGCCACCTTGATCTTGAACTGCCCGGCCTCCAGAATTGAAAAAAAATAAATCTCTGTAGTTTAAGCCACCCAGTGTATGGGTTGTCCGTCTCTCTCTCTCTCTCTCTCTCTCTCTGTGTGTGTGTGTGTGTGTGTGTGTGTGCTATTGTTTTACACTGAATAGTCTGTGAACATCTTTCTATGTCTTTAAATAGTCTTACTATTCTTGGGGGCTGGTTACAGTGGCTCATGCCTGTAATCCCAGTGCTTTGGG